TATCTACAATGTTACCCAATGTCCTTTATATGACAGTCTGAGGGATAAATAACCTTGAAAAGTCAGTGCCTGGAAAGAACCACTCTATTTTTCCTGACAAATTGCTACTCTTCCTTTAGTCCATTGCTAAGGACAATGCAGTCAAATATGTATTCTTTTTTTGCCTTGGTTGCCCTGAAGATTAACTAAATTTCTTTTTCAATTGCAATAAATAACCCCTCCCTGGTGCCTAATACATATAACTCTCTTTTACTTTAAAGTTGTAATTTTTTACAACGTATTTTTAATTATGCCACAGTAAAAGTCACCTTAAATATGTTTCAAAATATGTTTAAATATGCTTTAAATACAGTGGGCAGAATTAATACTGAGGCTGCATCCTATAGGCTAGTCCATGTTAAGTTACAAAACAAAACCAGTGTGGCCTAGCCCAGAATTTACCAAACCAGAACATGCCAAGCAGTCATGTAATACTTACTGGAAGTGTGGATTCTGTTCAGAAGGTCTGGAGGGGAGCCCGAGTTTCCACAGTTCTAACAGGCTCCCAGATAAGGTCACTGCTATTGGCCCTCAGACCACACTTGGAGGACGTGGGGTCTAAACAGTGCGCTGCCCACGCGTGAAGGAAAAGTCAGTACAAGACAATGAATAGGATGGAGCCCTAAGACACTAGAACCCTCCCAATGGTGAACACTCCGAATCAGAGCAAATGGGACAGCCTATTTCTGTATCAATCTTTAAAAATCAAAAGGTCTCAAATTCAATATCAATATTGATTTAATTTTTTACATAACAACTGTCCAGCTCATGTTTTTCAAAGAAGTTGATTCTGACTCATGTGTTAGACATTGTACCATACACATCTAAAGAAAATTTTGGTTGGTATGTTTCAAAAATCCCTATTATTCTGAATATTTTAGGAGGGAATAGGACAAGAAAACTCACTGAATATTTGGAAAAAGTTTCCATTTATTCAAATGTTTACTAAACACCTATTACACTCCAGCACTACTTTGAGGTCTCAACATACAAATGCCTTTTTCTTTTCTTTATTCTGGTTTTATTCCGATTCTTCATTTTTACTATCTTTAGGAGCAATTACTGTATAACTTAGGGAATTAACCTTTAATCAGCAAATGAGTGAATGAATCTGCATCATTTCAAGAAAATTCATCAGCTGCGATACTGACTAAGGAGATATTAAACATTAGTTCATTTAGATTTTCTGTCTTTCTAGCTTATTTCTAGTTAAGAGAGTATTCCTTCTCCTGACATGGCCTATTGCATAACGATAGATTCTAAAATACTTCACAGTAAAGAAAAGACCTAGTTTTTCCTATGTTGTTCAGTTTTTATAGATCCTCATAGTGCCCATTGTTGTCTCCTCTGCATAGTTTCATGGATGCAGTAGGCAAAAACCTTTATTTTGGTTAAAGCTAAAGCTAAAATTAACCAGTTATCTAATACACATAAAGAACTAGCTGAGTCACTGCATAAGTACAACAACATTTAAGTTTTTTTCTGGGTCAGAGGATTTAAAACCAACTGTACTAGTTTTCTATTGCTGCTATAACAAATTACCATACATTCAGTGTCTTAAACAGCACAAATTTGTGCTGTTTATAGTTCTGGAGGTCAGAAGTCCAAAATGGGTCTCACTGGGCTAAAATCGAGGTGTCAGCAGGACTTGGTTTCTTCTCAAGGCTCTAGAGAAGAACTTACTGCCTGTTCTTTCTGGCTTCTACACACCTCCTACATTCCTTGGCTCTTGGCTCCTTCCTCCACCTTCCAACCCAGCAATGTTGTGTCTCTCTTGTGACTTTTCTTCCACAGTCACATCTTCTTCCAATGGACTCTTCCCTTCTGCTTCCTTCCATTTTAAGAACCCCTGTGATTACATTGGGCCACATGGATAATCTGGGATAGCCTCCCTATTTTAAGGTCAGCTGACAAGCAACCTTAATTTCCTTTGCCATGTAACCTAACACCCTCTAAGGATTAAGATGTAGACATCTTTGAGGGCTCATTAGTCTGCCTACTGCACCAAGACAGGGTTCCATTTCTATTTACTAACTTGAATTTTCATAACACTTTAGTTCTCTTACAGTTTTTCAATGCTAGGAAAAGAAGTTCTTCGGGGAAGAACAGTGTAAGATTACTGATAGCAAAAACCTGTGTTTCAGTTTTTCACCATGAGCTCTGATGCTATTGGGATGACTCTAATACTCAATGAGCGATATGGATATTGCCAGAATGGCCACTGCCACAGAACCATTGGCTCCCGGATACATGTAGCCTGATACTCCCGACTTAGGTTCCGGTAAAATGATGCGGTAGAACATGGAATCAGACCACCAGGATAAGGTCCTGACTCTGCAATCCAAGTTGGCTAGAAAAAGGGCTTTCTCATTAAAGTTTTAGAAGCTAAAGCCTCCTCCAAAATTGCTCTAATGAGCTTAGAATCTTTAAAACTGTCCAAGGCACTAAGTAATAAAGTTCAGAGTTTGTTTTAAACATGGAAAAAAATGAAAAGTCAAATAGGTAAATTATAGTAGCCTAATTTTTTCATGCCATTACTAAGGACTGCGCAGGCGATTGTTTCAACAACAGTACAATGCGTAAGCCCTAAAGACTCTAAATCTCTAATCATTAAAAGAATAACACTTTGCATGAATGTTTTTATGAATACAGTCTAGACATACTTTCTCACAGGAACTCTTGATTAAAGATAATTATTATATTTCAATCAGAAGTCACAGAAAGTAAAAAGTCTGAATAACTGGCTGAAGGCCCTACACAAACCGAATCTAAATATGAAACAAACCAAATCAAGTTTGAACTTATGGCCTGAATTCTAGTAGATGGAAGTATATTTGTGGCGATTAAATATTTAAAACAGGCATGTCCAGTCATCAAGTGCTAAAATAGAAACTCTATGGCAGTTTCTGTAGAGTGAGATTGGCTCTACTGTGGTATCATGTCATACAAAGGTTATGAGAAGTATATTGTTTCTTGAGAACCTTGTTTCTTAACACACAGTAGGCAATGCCAATGTGAGAAGTAGTCATCTCTCACGGGTTAACTGATACCCTCAATTTCTACCCCTCTCACCTGCTGACCCCCTTCCTTGCGCCCTCCCCCCCAAACTGTACCTAATACAAAGGTGCTTCTGGGAACTATTCACAGTTCCCATGGCTCTGGTAGGGTCTCCAACAATACTTCAGCTCAGCACTGCTCCTTGGCAACACTGCAGCAGGCTAGCTTTAATGAGCTCTGATTAAGGAATGGGATAAGGTAGTGAACCAAGAGGAATTTTATTTGCATAGCCCCTAGAAGAATTCCGAAAATCTATGCACATATTTTTAAATAACATCTAAACATTTTTAACATAAGTTTAAACACTTGAAAAAGGAACATGATTTCGAATGCTCTAATACATATTTATCAGAACCTCAGGGCTGCAGATTTCACTCATTCAGTCTATGGAAAATGTCTGCTCTATCACATAATTTAATTGGCAGAGCCCATTCTCATTGCCAAGCCAATCAACCCAATAAGACTTCCTGTCAAAACAAGTCTGACTTCGTTTTTTCAGTCAAATGTGAAGATAGTCTTGGTGACAATCTGTATTCTGAATGCTAAAAGGAACAGATAAATACAGCACAGAGCCTTGTCATGTGCTCATCCCTCAGATGAATGAGGAAGAAGGAAGGAGAACTGGCAGGCATTATCCATGCTCAGAGGCAGATCGGTTTCAAGAAAGAGATGGAAGGTGAGGATCTAAAAATTGGAAACCCTTGAAACCCTCTATACCCTGGGAAGTCTTGGAGCCCAAAGGCATGTACATAGTTTGGAAACCGTTGAGAAAAAGCACTTCAATTCTTCTTTGAAAGTATCTAACATAAAACAAATATAAAGTGGTCTTTCTAAACAAAAAGCCCTCTGACTACATTTCTTTGAGGGATCCTAAGCCTTTGGAAATATCATGTTCTCTTCATCAAAACGGAGGGTCAACAATTAGAGATTATCATCTTGTTTATGCAGCCAGCCAACCTTGTGTATAATCTTGGATGGGTAGTTGTGGTGTCCCAGGATTTTCTTCCACATTTTCTCTAGTCCTTGGAACTCCTTGATTTGGTTCTAACCCTCCACCCATATTTGGTCATTGTTGCGTGTGTGTTTCACCCAGTCTAACTTAGTCACCTTTCCCCCTTAAGCTCCTGGATTTCACTCCATGTCATCATTGGGCCTTGCGCTCATATTCTGATGCTCTGGCCTTTTTTTAGTGCCAGAAGTAGATAAGCTTTTTTAAAAAAACGAAAACAACTGCAACTGCCAAGGCTATCCTGTTGTGCCAACAGAGCTGCTTATGCAAACTATTGAAAACTCTTAGGTGGAAATATAAGGAGTGTAAAGACATACTGGTAATGCATTTTGAAAACCTCTCCCCTAATGTTTCTGGGAGAAAGGTTAGAAGTAAATTACTGACAATGGGCAAGAAAACAGATGCAAAGAAGACAACTTTATTAGGTGCTTTCTCTTCTTCATGAGGATTTTGGTCCTTTCAGAGGAAGCTCCAAGTAATTCGACAATACCCAGTTTCCTTCAGTTGCTGCAATTGGATCCCACGGTGGGTGCTCTGGAAAGCACGCTGAGGGCGCACGGGTCTGAGGCCACTCACGATCAAGGTCGTCTGATCCATTTGTTAAGTTGAGACTCTTTCCGTGTCACGTCTTAGAAGCAGGTCTGTGTTCCCCTCCAAATAGCCCACCACCTGGCTGTGCCCACCTCCATTCGTGCCCCAGCTACCCTGTAACGGGTGGTTCAGAGGTGCTGCTACGGAGGCAGCCAGGCCTTTAGACGCAATCACTGAGGAAGAGGCGAGGACACCGGTGGAGGCTGGTAGGCGCGCGCGCGCACAGCCCGCGCACCCACCCACCCACCCACACACACCGACTCGGGGTGTAGGGCGGACGGGGGAGGGGAGCGGAAGGCCTTACCAGATCAATGAACGTCAGGAATTTCCAGCTCCCGCCGTAGGTCTGATGCGAGGGCATTTCGATGGCCTTGTAGTTGCACAGGATAGAGCAGTAGGACAGCAAGATCGCCACCCGCAGCACCTGGCACGGGACAAGCGCCATGTTCGCGAAAGGCCTGGCAGGCTGGAAAGCGGGGAGGGAGGGCTGGAGGCGCAGGGCGCGCGGGGGCGGGCGCCGGGGGTACACTGGCCGGCCGCAGGGCGGGGCGGGGCGGGGCGGGGCGGGGTCTGCGGCTGGCGCGCCCCGCGGGACCGGCGACCGAGAGCGCCCGGCGACCTGCGCGGGCGGGGGCGGCGTCGGCGGGCCCCAGCGGCGGCCGCGGACGGGCGGCGTGGCGTCAGCTCTTTCGTCATCTCCGTCATTCTGCTCCTGCGTTCGCAGGGCCCCCGGAGACCCGGCCGGGGCGCCCCCTAGGCGTCCTGTGGCTGGATGGGCGGCCTCCGAGTGCGAACACCGCCGGCGAAGCGCGCGGCATCTGCAGGGCAGAGAGGGAGCGCGGGGCCGGCGGGAGGGCGGGAAACCTGCCCTGACGGAGGGGACCCCAGTGGGGACAAACGTCGCAGCCGGAGGGGTTGCGGCGGAGGTGGTTCCTGCTGGCCAAGGCGGGTGCTACGTGCGGAGGGACCGGTGGAAGCCTGCACGTGGGCTGTAAACCCGCGCGCCTGGGGCTTCCGAGGGTCTCTTTATTTTGAACGCAACTGGATTTTTACTGATAGACTGTTAATCACTATGAAATTACCTTATAAATTCTATTCCAGCGGATGGACTGCCCCGTGCTCCTCCTCCACAGGAGATATATAAATAGCATGTCAGTGTATGATACAACAGGACAGACCATGAACTTCGGACAAGAGGTTTATAAATAAAAGGTTATAGAGAAAGGGGTGTCAGATAACTGTTTCTGCTTCAAGAGAGCGTTCAGCTTCAAAACAAACCGTTCTGAGTTTGGAAGCAAAACCCGGCATGTAACTTAATACTAATCTTTTGAGGGTTAATCTGACATTGCCCTTTTACTTATTTTTTTCCTACCGTACAATACCACAGCTTAATGGAAGGAAAATAAACTGGATTCCCTCTGTCTTCCAGTAAATGTTGTCACAGTGAAGTTGCCTCAGTCTGTGGGCAGCATTTTTTTTTTTTTTAATCATGATCACATTTCAGCCAACCAGATGCAGGGTCAGGGTATGAAAAGACAACATAGGTATTTCCTGTGGATCCATTTAAAACAGGTGTCCTCTCCAAATAGTCTCTGAGTCAGTGAATGTGGACTAAGGGGCAGGGAAAGCAGAGTGTTAGAGATAAAGAGAAAGTAGCAACTCATGAATGTTTTCCTGAAATTTTCCAATCAAACCCTAAACCAAAAAAACCCCATTAGGGTTTTTTTTTATTGGACTTATAATTATGCCAGTAGAAATTGATGTCACAAAAATCAAGATAATTCCAAGATGCTACTAGCATAAAGCTGTTCATTATCAATAATTATAGTTTTATGTCCATGTAAAAATTGGGTCTATTAATTTTTAATCATCATGTTCATAATATTGCAAAATTAAAAAGTAGATCTACTGAAGATCTTACTAGGTCCTTAATAACGTTTTACAAGTTAATATGATAGTCTCAAAGTTTGATATACCCTTCCTACGGTACATTTTAGAAAACCATTGATAAGATTCTCATCCCCATCATTACAAAATATAACATTTTCATGAAGCCATTTAAGATTTTAGTCTGTGCTCAGTTTCTTTTTAAATAAATCATTATAGCACTCAAGTGTTTGAACCCATTCTAATGTGTTTGCTTTTGATATTTTGGATTTGATAACCATTATTAAATGGTTTTGTGGAGTTGTTTTTTTTTGTTTGTTTGTTTGTTTTGGAGAGGAAGTGGATATCGGAGGGTCAGAGGGAGAGGGAGAGAGAGAGAATGTCAAGCAGGCTCCAGGCCCAGGGTGGAGTCTGATAGGGGGGCTCCTTCTCACATCCATCTCACAACCCTAAAATCTTGACAGGAGCGGAAATCAAGAGTCAGATGCTTAACCAACTGTGTCACCCAAGTGGCCCTGGAGGGTTTGTTTGTTTGTTTTCAATGAAACATCTGCATAAATCTTTACTCAAATATTTTATGAGATTGTCAGTCCACAATGTTTTGGAACTTCTTCTTAACTATTTACTGGCATGTCCAGGTTGTTCTTTTGGCTTTTTATACCATAACTATAATCTTAGTTATGTCTTAAAGGTATTTTTTTGTGAGAAAAATTTACACACGGATTGTTTTTACAGTGTAAGTAATACAATGGGATATTGCCCCTTAAACTTCACTCAGTAGAGGTAATTCCTTTTTATGAACTATAATACATTATTTACTGATAAGTATTTACCTGATGATTCTGTATTGGAATTAGAGATACAGTTTTTCACTGTATAGAAGAAATACCTGCATGTCACTTTTTTAGCTTTTTCATTCTACTACACAATTAGTGGTGATGGAGGAGAATAGCTTTATGCAGTTGAATTTCACGACAATATGTTTCCTAAGGGAAGATTTCAAGACCGTATCTTAATTTCTAGTCACCTTAGTGTTCTTCGATTATTGTAATAGCTCTTAATTCTTAGTCTCTCCTATAAGGGCTGGAGATACTCTTCCTTAAGAACTTCTAAAAACTGCTACAGACTTTCTTCCTTCCTTTCTTTTCTTTCTTTCTTTCTTTCTTTCTTTCTTTCTTTCTTTCTTTCTTTCTTCTTTCTTTCTTTCTTTCTTTCTTTTTCTTTCTTTCTTTCTTTCTTTCCTCTTTCTTTTCTTTCTTTTTTTTTTGAAGGAGAGGGTGTCTGACATATTGGTGATGATAATCCTTGCTAATCTTGGAAACGACAGGGACCCCTGTGTCTCCCTTATGTTGTATTCCAAGGAGCCAACTTTATATAAGCTGTGCTTAAAAATTCAGGAGGAAGAATTGTATATATGCATATCCTTATAATAGTCAATGTTTATGCATTTCCTTTGGTTCTGTATTTGCATTAGATTAGATAAGCATTTTCTAACAATATCAATATATTTGAGCAAATCATTTATTCCCCTTCACATTTATCTGCACCACAAGCGTAAAAGTTTCTTGAGCATAAGGAAAATCCCTTCAGTATTGTAGAAAAGACACCTTTGGGTTGTTTATTTTTTCCTTATTATAAAAGTAGCATATGTATGGGGCGCCTGGGTGGCTCAGTGGTTAAGTGGCTGCGCTCCGGTCATGATCTCGGAGTCCTGGGATTGAGCCCCACATCAGACTCCCTGCTCAGCAGGAAGCCTGCTTTTCCCTCTCCCACTCCCCCTGCTTGTGTTCCCTCTCTCGCTGTGTCTATCTCTGTCAAATAAATAAAATCTTTAAAAAAAAAGTAGCATATGTATGATATTAAAAAAGGAAAATAAAAAAAAATCACCCCTGCTCTCATCAGCCAGAGAAAACACTACAAACATTTCAGCACATACCAGACAGTCTCTTTACAATACATACATAGCTACTTGTGACATACTGTGTAACAATTTGCATCAAGCCGACTTTTATTTAATGAATATTCTCTTACTATTTAAAACTCTATAAAATCATCCTTAATGATTGCATAGCATGACGTAGTATGAACATATCATATTTTTCTTAAACTTTTCTCTGGTTTTGGAGATTTAGGTTGTTTCCAGTCTTTTGTCATTATAAATACAGCGCAATATCTGCATTTTGAACTGAGAAAGTCATTTTTAAGGGTTATTTATAGCTCAAAACCATTTAAGAAACCACCCTTTTATAATCTAATGTGTATGTTTCTTTACACGTGTTTGTCTGAACTGAGATACCAAAGAGAGCTCTTTTGCCCTAGAGGGCAGTTGGGAAAGATTAAGATCTAAGTAAAATAAGTGGGTAAAAATCATTCTTTTTTTCCAGGAATTGATGCTCATTACAGATTTTCAAAATTCCCTTAGCTATGAAACACAGTGCAAATGCATTTCACCAGTCAGGTTTTTTGCTATAAACCAGGAAGAGTAGTTATTTACAGGCTAATTGAGAAGCAGGCACCAGCCGATGTTGCTGGTTGCGGGGGTTTCACAGACTTAAAAATGGACTGTATTTGCTACAGAGAATTCTACTAAATTATGAGATTGCTAAAAACAAGGGATTCTATGGAAAGTCACTGAAAAGCTTTAAAAAAAGTAGTATTGAGATTACACCCCAGTCACCAGCTAGATCACATACGGACCTGAAACATCCCCCTGACTCCGTGAAGTCTGTCAGTGCCGGTGTCAATGATAATCCTCCGGCTCGGGACAGAGCTTTGTGTGCATGTATCCAGATCCAGCACATCCAGCAGGACTTGGCATAAATCCATTTTGACAATCCTCTTCAGGGGCACGTGGGTGGCTCAGTCAGTTGGGCGTCAGACTCTTGATTTCGGCTCAGGTCATGATCTCAGGGTTGTGGGATCAAGCCCCGTGTGTGGCTCCTCGCTCAGCGGGGAGTCTGCTCAAGATCCTCTCTCCCCCTCTGCCCCACCCCCACTCCCATGTGCATGCACATGCATGCTCTCTCTCTAAAATAAATAAATAAAAAAATAAACCACTTTAAAAATTTAATAAAAATATATGCATACATACATAAATACATAAAAAAAAAAACAGTCCCTCTTTAGGACATAGGATGTGGTCTTCCCCCTGCTCTGAACAATCCACATGGATGACTTACTGGTGATTCAGATTCTACATGTACTCATTATACTCTTTATTTCCTTCTCAAAACTAGCTCCTCAGAAGTGTTCTTATTCTCTGGGTACAGCACCAGTGTGCATATTAGAAACATCAGGATGGAGCCTGATGGCCTAAAGGTGCCAGTCTCTTAGTGGTGCTAAAATATCTCTGGAAGTATGGCAAGTTGAAGGGAATTCACTCACCAGAATTCTCAGGGAGGGGACTGTGTGTTGTTAGAAGAAATATTTTCTAGAGGAAAACATCCATATCAGGAATAAAATCTGGATTAAGGAAAAAAAAAAAAAAGAAGAAATATTTTCAGAACCAAATTAGGTGGATCGGGGGACAGGGGAGAGAGACCTACAGCTATCTAGAATAACAATAAATCATTGCTAAAATTCTTCTCCCCAACGGTATCAGGGTAATTACATAGCTTTTTGTTTGCTGAATGAACTATATATAGGAGTTTGGA